TATTATATATCATTTATATATTTTAATATTATTTCACATTTCATTTGCAATGTTGAATGTTCAATAAAAAGTTCTGTTTGAAAGGATGTACTAGAATTATTATGATATATTATCATTATGTCAGTGGTCTAAAATGGTCTTACAATGGTGCCGACAATATTATCGTTTATCGCAATAATTTCCAGGAACATTAATCGTCCAACAAAATTATTTATCGTGACAGGCACACAAGATGTGTGCAAATGTATTTAGTATTCTATCCATGTGAACATGATTTAAGTGGGGGGGGCCTAACCTCCTCTAGTGGGGTCCGGGGGCATGCTCCCCCGGGAACATTTTTTTTTTAATGATTGAAGTTAAAAGCATCAATCTGGTGCACTTTGAGAGCAACATGAGGAGATCTATGGATACATCTCTCAACACCCATATGAAACAGAACTGTAAGCAGATTTTTCTTTTTGGATATTTTACAAATCACTCCCCTTTCAAACTCTATTCTTGTTATTTTTAACAACTTTTTTGTTACTGTCATATAATATTTTATACCTGTTAATAATTTAGTCTCTAATGTCTCATTAATAACTATAATGATCATATCAAGGTGTGCCTTAACCTCACTGAGCTGAGGTTATTTGAGCCTCTCAGGAGAGAGCTCTCTTCCACCTGGTTGTAGAAAAGCTCTTTAAATTCGTTAGCATAGCTAGCTAACCAGATGCTAATAACAACAGATCGCCACTGTGCTTACAACTAAAGACACAGCCACGCAAACACTGCGTACGGCTCCTTATGGGTACTGCAATTTTGAAGAGCTGGAGCGGCGTTCCGATGCGCTCCGTTACTCCTTTCAGACGAGACATAACCACGTGAAGACACGTTACGCTCGTGTTGTGTTCAAGGAACCTGTCCTTGGCCAGGAAAAACAGGCACTCGCTTGTTTAATTATTTTGCGATCTAGATTTCTTCTTTTTGAAGTGAGAAGTTGTCCGTATAAGTCGGACGGACGGACGGACGGACTGACGGACCCCCCCCCAAAAACGAAAACTCTTCGGTTCTCCACGAATTACACAAGTCACCCAAATCAGCGTTAAAAAAGCGGGAGGCGCCGAAAAGCGACTAATTTGCATCACTGAAAGAAAAGACTAATAAACTATTCACACAGCTGTTATGGAGCTTTACCTGGCTTCTGAATAACAGCATTGCAGGCGTTTGCTATCTCCTCCCGTTTGGCCTCATCCGGGTACTGGTTGTCGTTGAAGTAGCTATAAATAGACAAAGAGAAGCACTGATTCAATTAATTTCCTGACACAAGGACGATGTCAACAAACTGGATTTATGTATGCTGTAGAAGCTCGCCAAAGCTGAGAGTATGAAGAGTCACACGCTGGTTGTCTAGACGTTTCCTTGCACAGGTTGCAATATTTCCTCAACTCCATGTGGAAATAAGGAGAAGTTATGAATGTAATCTTTCATATACTTCTTCCTGCGCTCACCTCTCCATCACGGCCAGGCACTCTTTCCTCCAGGTGAAGCGGCTACCTCTGCGCAGGCGGAAGGTTCCAGGGGCTGTGCTGATGGGGGGTGGGGTCTGCCTCCACTCCATATCCTCCAGAGGTAAGGGAGCAGGCCGCATGTTCAGAGTGGCACCTGTGGGGGGGGTTGTGTTACAACTGAGAGTTCCGCCACAATCAGCCCCAGGAACATGAAGTCTGTGGTGTGTTTTTGCCACTTGAAGTCTGGGAATAATAATGAGTGAATTGGCGGTTTTTACAGATGAACTGCAGCACATCCTTTTAAGAAAATGCATGTGAGAAAGCACTTTTGCAAATCTTACAATACATTACTTTCTGATTATAAACTGGAGTGGATAGTGCTGACAAAGACCGCGCTGCCTCGTCCCAAATCACGACCACAGCAGAAAGAGAAAAGAATCACAAAAGGTTTAATTTGCAGTAAAACTACCGCAATTTTCGGACTATAAAGCGCACCTGAATATAAGCCGCAGCAGCGGCATACCACTCTCGGTTCCACTTTTACTCGCTACCTGTCTCCCTCTTTTCCGGCCTCCAGCTTTTCCTGCTGGAACCCGCCGCTTAAAGGTGGGGGTCCGCGGACCGGCCATAGAGCCCATAGAGTTAAAGGTGTTGGCCGTTAGCTGTAAAAATCCATAGATTAGCCGCACCGTTATATAAACCGCAGCGTTGAAAAATAGGGAAAAAGGCGCGGCTTATAGTCCGAAAATTACGGTAATTAAATACGCCACGTTCTTGCTAACCGTATGCCTCAGTATCATAACCTCATCTGGCACACACATTGTGAACCAGTCCTAACTGGGTCGCCCAGCAACAGGGCGGGTTATCAGACCAGGATGAGCGGGACATCACTATCTCTGCAGCGGTGATGCGTGCGTGCGTGCGTGCGTTGGGCTGGGCTCCGTCTGGACAGAAATAGCAGAAAGCAGTTTCCACTGTGCTGTTGGCAGGGCTCCTATCCGGAGCACGCAATGAAACATGTTGAGCCTAGAAAATGCGATTGAGCGCACACTTGAACATTTTTGAGCACAGAGAAATATATTTTCTCTCATAAAACTC